AAAAAGCATAGGCCGCAGATTTTGGTTATTTTCTGAAAGCTCGTTGACCGCGTTGCAGCTTTTTTATAACCTTTAGAAAGAGGATGAAATGCTGCATCGAACGCTTCCAAGATCTTTTAGGAATCTTTGTTCCATCACATGTGGCGCCCGTTTGGAAAAAGCGGCGTTTGCTTCATGACTTTGAAAAAATGTTAAGGAGGGAAAAATTATTTGGGCGTAATGTATGTCCCGTTAATACTCGTGGCAGGATTCGAAGGCTTGTAATTTTTAGTTTTGGTTATACAATTTCGAGCACATAATTCTCTTTATTAACGCAATGGCAATCAAGTGTGCGAGTCGTGAGGAGCATATTTTCCTTCTCTCAGCTACTCAGACAACTGACCGGAACTTCCGTAGAAAGTTCCGCCGGGTCAACTGCGGAAGTTCCCAAAGGAGGTGCTGCGGGAGTCCAAAAGAATGCGAGCCAACAGCAAAAGGAAACACTTAAGCGAGGTTTGAACCTTACTCTATTGACTGTGAGACTCAGCTACTATCTCGCACGGCTAACATGGTAGATAATGCACTCTAGTAGTCGGCGAGGCAACATCATACATACGAGACAACACATTCAATACCCTGCGGAAGTACTGGCATGTCAAAGTGCTGCGGAACCGCTGGCATCCTTCGTTTTAGAAAGACTTCCGGAATTTTCCATCTACAATCAGTCTGACGTGAAAATCCACTGGGCTCCCATTTTCAAATTTTCCACTTTTGCAATGGTAAACAGAATTCTGCGGAACCGCTGCAAATTATGCTTGTTCTGCGGAAGTTCCGTTGTCTGAGAAGTCAAGATGGCTAAATCGGAACCATACCAATGCAGATTCTGAATGCCAGGATGGTCAATTTATATGCATTTTATTATTGAGGACAGAATTATTTATTGTATTTAGAATTAAATTTTGTCGCAAGTGCATAATGTATTATTGCCTTAGAGTTACACGTTTTGCTACGCGGTCTATCTTGGAATTTCAATTTGTGTGAGATCTATATTTGTGCTACATACTGTTGAAAACTTGAAGAAGTTTTTGTTGCTTCCTTTAGACATATCGATGCAGCCAACAGGACAGATGGGCCGCTTGACATCCCGCAGCATTCCTCTTCTTCATTGGAAGAAGATTCAGGTGCTTTTCATAATCTATTGATGTTGAACGTTTTCAGCATGTCAAAATCAGGATTGTAGGCAAATCTAAAGTCGAAAATTTGCTACTCTGCTAAGCAAGAAGTTGTGCTGTCTGAGAAATGTCATAACATATATCGTTATATCGATATCGTTTAGCTGTATTAGCACATATTAGCTCAGCCAATATATCAGGTTGTCCGGAAAATAATGTCGCATGGCATCCTACCACAATAAAATGACCACAAAAAACAGCGAATGGGGTGTCACTTGGTAGGGCAAAGCAAGCTCTACAAGATAGTTTGCAAACCGCGGCAATCGTGCTCCACATGAAGTTGGAATCCAAAATATAATATTTTTTAGATATCCGAAAAATCGTAACTCTGTTCATAGACGTCTTATGGATCTCCAATTTGCAAAGGCATATACTCTCTACATTAGACATTCACCTACATAGTTTCTGGTATTATTCCATGGCTACAGTGCGAGAAATAAAAGTAGGTCAAATGTGCGACTTTGTCGCGTTTTTCGGTTTTTTTGCAAACAATTTGATTTTTCTCGGAAACTAGCGCTTGTCTTATGCTGAAAATTCATGGTTATACTCCTAAAGGTTCATACTAAAGAATCACCCATGTGAGAGATGCTCAGGATTGTTTTGGCTAAAATATGCCGAATTTCGTTTCCTCAATTTTCAGCCATGGAAAAACCGCATTTTCAGCCATGGAAAATGTGCATACGGGTGTCTCGTATAGTGAGTTCATGCGTGAGCAAGTTAGGGGTTCACAAGGCTTTCCTGAACGGAGATACGGTTTTTTTCGTTTATTCAGACTTTTAGTGCCTTATGAAATTTGGCTCCAAACTTTCCAAACACGCAGATCAAACCTGGCGCGAAGGTTCGAGCTTCATTTTGTAGAGCATGCTCTGTTCTATCGGTCAATGCTCCACTTACTTACTTTCGTGCGCGCCCTGCTGCGATATTGCATAATGAAACACGATGCGTTATTTTCCGGACAACCTAATACTAACATTTGACTCAACCGATTTGGCGCTTAAAAGGCGGGACTTTGTGACCTAATTAAGGCCGCTCGCGTTCGCGACGCAGTCTGCGCCTCCCTCACGCACATACTCTCGATCACTATCTAGCCTCCCAGCCGCCAAGCCAGTTGAATCAAAGGGCACTTGTTTCATTTTCATGCTACTTGCTTCCAAACACATTTCACTTTATATGTATACCAGTGCTTCACCTCTGCTTCGCAGAGGTTTCGCTTCGCACTGGCCATCATGAAAAGTATAGGAAAACCTACGTAATGATCTTGGCCTTAATAATTCTTTGATGGAGGAGACCGCCAAGTAATTACAAAAATGAACCTTACTTGCTTTGCAGCTCTCACATGCATTTAAGCAATGTAAATCATTCCTCACTGTAATTTCGTAACAGACGGATTTACAGACCGACAAATTAGCGGCTTATTATAATATAAGTCATGATCAGTTAATTCCCGTTTTCAAGTATCATTACGGCTAATTAGCCCTCGCCAGGCACATCATATTATGTCTCTCCCATTTTCCCATATTCAAAGTAAAATCAACATCTGGCATCGAACATCGGGAGAATGATCGAGATCTCACAACGGTAGAAATGAGATGGTAGCCAAGCGCTAACAGTAACCATTGCCTGCAACAATGTTAGGAAATTCGTATTTGGGTCATTTGTGCAAAGACTACTGTCACAAACATAGTGTGACCGAACTAAGAACATAGCTGCATATTGCTTTCCTTCGCAAAGTAGCCTTTGATTCATATGTACTTTTATTCCAGCTTTTTTGATTTCAGGTCGAGTAGAAGCTCTTTCAAAAATACTCGGATTGTTAATAGCTGAAAAAAAACAAAACAAAACTCCCACATCAAACAGACTTTCTAATACGATGCCAAAGCGCTACAAATTTCGTGAGGACACTGTAATTCGACTGCGATCATAATGATTTCTGTAAAAAAACAAGAAGAAAAAAATAATTGACTGGCAAACTGGAAGCTGCTCATGAACAGCTTGATCATGTCCTCAGATGATTCATGCTTTACAGCATGACAACTAGGAGCTATTATAACGGGGCACAAAGAACACTACGCTTACACAATGGTGTTTGCGTCGGGATACGTATGAATCTCGCGCTATCATTCACATATTTTTTAGTACTACCCATGCACTTCAACAATGAATAGTGTAGCGGTAGACTATATCTACGAAGAGCGAGCAAATTATGACGTAGTAAAATCTTTTGGATTTGTTACAGGTATAAAAAGTGGAAAATTCGGCAAAAATATCTCTTTTCTATAATTGTTAGACATGGCGTTGAACTTGAATCTCCAATTTTTCTCGCTCTTATCTATTGCTTCCAACAATTTAAGAATATCATTGCTTTGTTTTTGAACGCAAGATTCAGTATTTGAGTCAAAGTGGTCATTCCGCCCCCGAGAAGTCTCGAAATTCTAAAGTTAATTACATGGGTTATAGAACTGTGCAAGTGACATACATATACTTGCAAATCATTACAACTTTTGAACTTTCTTCATAGTTCAAATTGAGTCAAAAGTATATTTTAGAAGACTGATGATTTGGGCAGCGCAAGAGTTCCGACTAATAAGAATTTAGCCGAGTGCATTACGAATGAAAATTGAATATGCCGTTAATGTAATGTTAATCAAAAATCTCTTCTTCATATGTCAAACGCCTTTTTTGCGAGATATTTTGATGTTCTGTTACCACAAAAAAGCTGCAAATGTGGACAACGACTGCAAATATGGAACGATATGACAAAAACGTGTTATGCGGTTGGTACTGATTAAGCGCGATTGAAGCGAATATTACTCACAGTGTCCCTAATGAGTGTCCTGGCATCATCACTTCGACTAAAATGTGTTACATAGATGAATCTCCTTTAAGCAATTAGTACATGGTACCGAAAAGTATGGGCGTTGCAACATCTAATATGTTAGTTTTACAAACATTTCATCGACTTTGCTACTATTCCTGTCGCTCACGACAGGTTTTATATTGAAACATGGAAAATATTTTCAAGCTAATCCCTTTGATGCCAGTGAGACTTCAGAGCTTGTTTTCATTTGACCGCCACCTGGCCACTCAACTGATGTTCAAAGTGTCATATTTGATACTAAAGAAAATGTTATCGATATTAGGGTACAATCATATACGTCGAACCGCGCGCTGTGAAACCTCATATGCTTGAATCCATTCAATTCTCCGATCATTGTCGCAACTGGTACACCTTTAGCACATCATAAATATTATGGCGCATTAAACTCACGATAAGCCGCTGGAGCTATTTGCATGTGCAGGAACCCAGTCTTCTAGCAGTGTCACTTATATCTCCGCTTTCGTCATGAAGTCGTAATTTTATCGAAGTTCTTTTTGGAAAAGATATCGTCCAACCACAAACGTGGGCCCACAGTTTTACATAATCTCAGACAATCGCAAGTGAAGCTCCGGAGCAAACTGAGCTTCTAAAACTTCCGGAGCGTATGCTGCTATTGGTCCGTGTGGCAAAGGCCACACGGCCCATGCCACATGGACCATGCCACACGGACCAGTAGCAGCATCCGCTCCGGAAGTTTTAGAAGCTCAGTTTGCTCCGGAGCTTCACTTGCGATTGTTTGAGATACAACGTTTTGGATAGTAATGCCTTTAAGAAAGTTGCGATTTTTAAATAGTTATAGAAGTCAAAGTAAGCGTTTATCAGGTGCTATGGCGCTAAGAGTAAACTTCATGGAGCTGCATGCTACGCTTTTTACGAAAATGCGATAACTCTCCGAATTTTTCAGGACTACGATGATATTAATGAAGCTCATCGCCACGCTGATGATCTGCATCCTGTTTGCAGACTCGGTAGCAGCAACGGTACCCAACACGCGGACAAGTGACGAAGGATACGCTGATCCACGCCACACTGCGAGGACAAGATGGAGAAGAAATGCTTATCTACCCAACCAGCGAAGAAGATTCAGAAGACAGACTGATGGCGATCACGAAGAAACGATTGAAGAAACTAAGGTTAAAACACGTAAGTACACCTAAATGCTACCATTACCGGCAGATAAGAGCTCTCATTACAGCTAAGGCCACTGAGTTGAATTATCATGGATTAGGACCTGGATATCTTGCATGAACAGACTTATTTCTTTGTCTTATTTTTTGTAAATTTGTACACTCTTGTATAAAGCATTCTTGTAAAGACCTTCAGGGGCATCACACTCAGATATGACATCTCAACGTATTCAAATGGCACCATAAATAGCTGCTATATACGGAGAAAACCTTTCTACCCATTTCTATTCATATTTTCGAGTTACTTTTGGTACTTCTAGAATCAACAGAAAAGTCCATTTAGTTAATGGCCAATCCACTGAGCTACATAGTATTGTGCGCTACGACATCTCCAGCATCAATGACTTGAATCAGAATACTGTAACTGAGTCAGAGAACTTTGGTGTGTCAAATAGTGCAATTCTATAAAAGTTTTGCATGCGCAGCTCCAACCATTAATTGTTGTTCGCTTATGGCGAGAGAGGGAATCAGACGAACAATATGGCTTACACTCAATTTATATAGCGTAGCAATTATCGGTAATAACAAATGGGACTGGCTTGGTAAAACAATCTTTGCGCAATGCATCTTCTCAAAAGCAACAATGGCGCTGATTTGTAGACGCCCACACTCGATCTTTCGCATTCGGTTTCAAAGGTAGTCTCCAGGCTAAATATAACCTCCTCCGATTAATGCCGAATCTGGATATAGGCTCCAGGAGAGGGACATAGGCGTTGGTCCGGTTCTCTAATGCTGTCTCTGAATGGAGATAATAGACCTGGAATAGCGAAAGTATTACCAAGATACGTCCAGATCCTATCAAGCCCCCCCCCCATAGTGATTGCCGCGTAGGCAGAGGTGCGATAGTGGGAGCCGATTCTCCCCCTACCTTCACTTTTGAGCTGGTACAGGGTGACCACCTTCACTTTTGGAATAAAAAATTTTTCGCTGGACGATAAAGAAGGAAAATAAGCAAAACAAACGCAAAAAAGATTATTGAAAGCATGTATTTATGTATACGGCGGCATATATATTTAAAATAAACGTGTTCATAAATGGTGTATTTGGAAGTAAAACTTAGCGAAAATGTATGGATCTTATTATGCAAATTTTGTTATAACGTACAGCGAAGAAAGTAGATCGATCCAGGCAGTAACGGCCGAGAACAAGAATTTCGAATAATTAAATAGTGAAAAATCAGGCAAAATTTCCACTGTTATAAATCTGTCGTTTGTCAGCAGTTGCGACTTCATAGGTTTCAAAGAGTAAATGGTGCTCTATCAGCTAGTGAAAAAATCGAGTGGATTTGAAAGATAGTCGTTGAAAACCAGAATTCTAAAAATTTACGTTATTTTTGCGAGTTTTTTGACAGTTGACAAAACTCATATAAATCTTGAATGTAAAAGTGTATGATGTTGCGACTTCATAGGTTTTATAGAATAAGGTTTGCCTTATCAGGATATGTCTTAGCCGTTCCGATCCATTGGAAAATCTCCGAGATCCAGAGTCTTGAAAAAGCAGATAAAAAAGCGCTTTTTGAAATTCAACAGCTCATAACTTCTTCAGAACTGCATGAATCATGTTGCGACTTCATATGTTAGATTCTTCTCATCAAGAGCTTTCAGACGATATATAATATTTGGGGGTTTAGAGTCTCCTACGAATTATGCCCGTGGGGGGAGCCTTTCATACCAAAGTCTCCCCCTAGCCCACTTTAATGTATTGAAGGGGGAGAATTTTGTATGAAAAGGCTCCCCCCATGGGCATAATTCGTAAGAGGCTCCAAACCCCCACATATTATATATCATCTGAAAGCTTTTGATGAGAAGAATCTAGCTTATGAAGTCGCAACATGATTCATGCAGTTCTGTAGAAGTTATGAGCTGTTGAAATTCAAAAAGCGCTTTTTTACCTGCTTTTTCAAGACTCTGGATCTCGGCACTGTTTCATTGAATCGGTACGCCTAAAATATATTCAGATAAGGCAAACCTTACTCTACAAAACATATGAAGTCTCAACATCACACACTTTCACTTGCAAGATTTAGATGAGTTTAACTGTCAACTGTCAAAAAACACGCAAAAATGGCGTAAATTTTTAGAATTCTGGTCTTCAAAGACTATCTCTCAAATCGACTCGATTCCTTCACTACCTGATAGAGCACCATTTACTCTTTAAAACTTATAAAGTCGCAACTGCTGACATTTTCAAACAACAGATTTATAACAGTGAATTTCGCGTGATTTTTCTTTATTTAAATATTCAGAATTGTGGTTCTAGGCCGTTACTGCCTAGATCGACCTAATTCATTCGCAGTATGTTATGACAAAATTTACTTAATAAAATCCGTACAGTCCAACAAACTTTTACTTGTAAGTACACCATTTACTATACACGTTCATTTCAAATTTTTATAGATAAAATTTATAAATATTTTTAATATTCATCGCATCTATGGCCCTAAAGAGGACCGTTGGGTCACAGTTCGGATCTAGAAAGATAGCTCTGTTCATCCGTTCTACCCCCCCCCCCCCGGTCGACGTTTTTGGGAGGTGAGTGTCCGACACTACCACCTTCACTTTTGGCCGGCCAGTGATAGCTGGGACCACCTTCACTTTTGGTGTGCCCGGCTCCCCCCATCGCACCTCTGCGCGTAGGTCTTCAGGAAGACAGAGCTCTCAGAAATCGGATTTTTGAGGGTTTTGGACAATTTGCATTTCATAACTGTAATTCGGCCTACGGAAAGAACTCAGAATTACAAAAACATAGAAGGCGAAATTTTGGGTGGACGCTGCCTTTAACTTCCCTGAAGCAACGAAGTAGAGAAATGATGAGCCTCGTTGTCAAAGGGATATAGTATATGAAGGATGCAGGAATCTAAATGTCAGTATTATTTGCATTTGTGTTGACAATGCTGTAGCGGCGTTCAGCATTTCTGCATAACAGTCTGTGAGCTATTTGCTCCTGCTCCTGGTAACCAATTCAAAAATTTCGCAGAAAATTTATTGAAATTGCATAACCGTAATAACCGATTTATATAATTGACCAACCCATTTTCGAAAATTTCTGAACCCATGATGGGAACTTGACCGGGAATTAGTAGCGTCTGCATTACGGTTTTAGTAGACTTTATGTGGCTCTGGGTGAGATGCCGGTAGCAACACAGAAATATTTAGCTTTGCTGAAACCTTATGGCTCCTGAAACATTAGGTTATGAAGGAGAGCTACTAAATTGCAAAACACTACATAAAGATAATTTGACCTTCAAGGTTTCAGCAAAATTTTTCACGAGGGCATTGCATGATTTCATAGTGTACGTAAACATCCATCTCAGCGCAAATCCTGCGGAGCTCAGAACCGAAAATGAAAAGAAAAAGTGGCTAACTGGACACCATGCTTTGTGCCAGAATTACTTGTTGCAATGCTATAACTTGTAGTGCGATGCGAATTTGTATATATTGGAATCTGTGCATACAAAACATTACAGCTATCAATCACTTCAATGGGGTTTTCTTCTCCACACTGTTGAGTTAAACAGGAGATGCTTTGACCGATCGTTTAGGATTTTGCAAAAAGGTGAAACGCTCATCATAAAATTACTGGCTGTGTTGGCGACTAAGTATTTTCTAATATGTGCGACTTTGAGTAAAAAAATGTTATCACATTCATCCAAACTTCATACCCAGTCGTAGAATTTCAAACGAAACATCAGCATAACGGTGACCAATTCTTTATCAAATGGGGAAGCACTATTGTTACAACACAAAATCATATGATGGGATATCTTCGCAGCTCGGTAATTCTTCTCATAATCCATTCATTCGACCACTGAAATGTAATTGTTATTAGCATGTGTTGTTTAGAACATATCTGAATTTTCTGGAGTACCAACAGGCCTAGGATGCAAATTGTTGCAAAACACTTTATAGATTGTTCAAAGCAGCCGTTTAACCTGGATGTCTAATGAATTCCGAACACTTATAAGTGGACCTCCCAATATGTGGTACAAACAATAGTTTACAGGTTGCTTGATCAACGGACTTTTCTTTCGTACAAACTGAAGTCAAAGTATGATTTAGTAAGTATTTCACCGTGTTCAAATCAATCAACACTTCAATCAATGTACTAAACTACTTCTTGCACCTTCGGTTGAAGTCCAACAAACTGTCCATCTATGTCGTGATAGACAGAAACAAATTGTGATATAAAACTATCTGACTTAACCGATCATTTAAACATTGGTAAGACGTCGGCGTGCAAGCTATTGCCCATATACAGCATAATATTTGCTTTTAGCTCCAGATTTTGTACAGGTTTCAACTTCTGCTTATCAAACCCTATCAACCCGGAAAATGCGACGAATGCTTTGGGATGGCTACATGATAGTACGAAAATTCCTAAGTAGTTGCTGATATGTCGGAGGAGATCATCATACGGTTACATAGTTTTTCAGACCGTGTAAAGGGGTTTGGAGATGAATTTTATAGAACAATGACCACAGAAATCCATGAGAAGACAAAATGAAAAATTTTACTTTCTTGGCAAGTAGCTTTGGGGCAGTTATTGGTAAACGTGATTCATGATCGGTAAATTCTTGAAGGGAGTAATATATTGGATGTCTAATTTATTCCGAACAGATTTACGAGTAGATATCATTACATGTCCGTGCCATTATCAAGATAAAATTATACTTGTTGCAGTGTACTTTGTAGCTTGATTTATGTTGTCAAACTCAGAGTTTATTTTTTGGGGAGGGGGGGGGGGAATTGCGGCTGCTAGAAACGATTTGCATTAAGTGCGTTTGTCAGCAAAAAATCTGAAAGCTTCAATACTTCACAATTGTTACATACTGAAGATATGCAAACATCCTAAAGTTTTAATCCTACTAATCCTCAATTCCTTAACTTTCGTCCTAGAGACAAATAAAGTGATTAGATTGATTTTTAGAAATCTTATTCTTTAGATTCAACTATACTTGCTGGAAAATTCAATCATTCGATGGAGAAGTAAAGTGCAGAGCTCAAGCTCATCAAACTCTAGATAACTACTAATATGCAAGGATTTCCTGCTTGCTCTCTTTTTCACCACTAAACATTGCTTGTACATGAGCTAGATTAGACTTATTTTTTAGAAGGACTTCTTCAGTTTGGAGCTTTCACTTTTTGAATATAGCATTAATTAAATAACTATCTATAGCAGTGTATTTGTATGGGGTATTTTTTCACTCCTCAACTCTCTGGGGTTAACATCCAGGAAGGCGATAGGTATAGCCATTTAGCTTCCACTGGGTACTAAGTTTTGCATCTTCCTTCATAACTTTATTCTCTTTGGCATTTTACGCACTTAAACTTGGGCAATATCTAGAACGTAGTGCAAGTGACAAACTATGCGCATTTTGAACGCGAGTTGGAAAAATTCAAGCTGTTTCTTGAAAAACTAGAGAATTTCGAGAATTTCTGGGGTGGTTAACCAAAATGAAGCCGCTGGCAACCTAGACCTGCGATCCGAAATTATGTACGAGTTATTGCTAAGAGTCGATTCAAATGACTCAATAAATAAGGAATGAAATCGAAGATAACTCGAGATTTGATTGACCTCACAAAGTTGAACGAAGAGCTGTACGCAAGGCTGCTGGGGAAACCGTCAATGACTAAGGTAAGGAGTCGAAACGTCAAAATTCTCCGAAACTTCGCATATTGGGGTTATTTGACCTGACAAACATGATTATAATATTCATCTGTTGGATCAACGTCTTTCTTCTTGATTAGGGTAAGACCTTAAATCGTAAACCTACATTAATCTTACAAAAAGGACTTAATATGCAAATTCAGCATTGTCTCCATGACCAGCGTGTCGGATACATCCCCTATACCAAGTTTCAGCCAAATCTGTGAAATTTTATTATGTTTTCCCTTGTGCCATATGCCTACCGCAATCGTCTTGCTACGTCAGAATTTGGCATGAGAGCATCTGCGTTTGTAGCTTACTTCATAAACCACATGATGGCAAGATTTGAATGCGTCGTGTCAAAAAAGAAGAAAGTTAAGAAAGATAAGATAGTTAAAAAACTTAGTTTCCAGCATAATATATGGTTCCCTCAAGCAGCATGGCAAGGAACGATTCTGATCATCGTTACTTTTTTCCAGGTCTCTTGTCTTAAATGAAGAATGGGTAAGCCTGACTGTGTAGTAAGCACTTTTTATGATGCTTCTAGCTATAGTCTCATCTTCCTGTCCGTTCTCATCCACTTTGAGGGGTTGTAAAAAGAGGAAGAAGGGTGCCAATGGTAGTTAATCTTTGGCGCTTAACATCTTGATTCTCTGACTTCTAAATCAAATAGAACTAAAAAAAATTGCACGATAAAGCCGCAAACCTACGAATTGCGTTCATTCAGGAAGGGGACCAGTAAGATTAGAATAGGAGCACGAAAGTTAGAGAAAGGAATTTTTTTGATTCAATCTCGCACTTGACAAGATAGCGCAAATTGGAGACACTGAACCTCGTATTTGCTATGCTATATTCGTCACATTTTATCGATCCTACATAAAAAGACACCCGAGGAGAGGAAGAGTACTGAGTGACCGTGGCTATTCATAACGGTAGTACATGGACTTTTGAGTGCTGATTTTACCAGTGTTTTTCCGCGGAGCACAACCTTGTAAGGAATAATTAATCTCCTTGAAATTTACGCTGATGCAGATATAAAAATTCAAAGAGGCTCGCCCTTTAATCCACTGAATTCAGACTGGCTTTTGAACATTCAGCTTTGTTCTGCAGCACGAAACTATTATGGTCTAGTGTATTGATTCATGAAGAGAAAAATCAATCAGAAAAAAGTGCACCCTCCTTTACAAGGTTGTTCTGGTAATGAAAAAAGATTTGAAATCACCGCAAAATGGTATACTAGTAGTTGAATCTGGACCCAGTCGCCAAATCGTTAAAATTGATATGTAAGCATTACCGTTCATGACAATTTTTCTAAACATTTCAATGACGACAATTTGGTGAAGAAGTCGGAAGCTCAGGATCACCCGAATTACATTCATCAAGTCGTCAATTGTTCTATTTTTCAGTTTTCTATCTTTCTTCACCTGGACTGAATTCGCTATGAATTTGCTAGGATTTGAAACCTATGTTCTTACAGTTGTGCACTAGTTTGGCATCTGTAGAATTAACTTTGGGGTGTCATTTGTTTTTCTCACGCAAAGCACCAGGGCTCGGCACAGGTGGCTTGTAAGAAAGCTGAATATCGTTTCTGGGACAAAAAAGGGGTATCGTTATTGACGCCGAAAAAAATACAAAATTGAGGAGTTTTTTTTTCAACGTTTCGTTTTTCTATGATGTTTAACATTTGAGGTTTAGGGTCAAAGGAGAATTCGTAAAAATTCGCAAAAGTCAAGGGGGACTTTGTTTGCATTCTCCAAAAGCACCTTGTGCCCAGCCCTGCAAAGCACACTCATAGAGAAAGATTATTATATAGCGTTAGCATTGTTTTTTTTTTTGAAATATCGAATCTATGCACTTAGTGAATCGTGAACGCCTGATCTGCTTGGTAGCTCTTGCATCTTTTCAGTTGACTGCTTCTGTCAATGATAAGATAAAATAAAAAACTCACAATAGTCTGTTGTAGAAAAGTGCGGGATCAACTTGCGTACGGTATGATCGCTGGAAAAGTGCACCAGGATTGCTTCGTTCAAATCTTTCCAGTGGTAAATCTTGTAGAACGAAGCCGAGTGCTTGGCATACGATGACACACCACAGGATCAAAGAGTGAACGAAGCCCATCTGAAAAGTGATTTGATAAATCGACTGTGGAGGGGTGGAGAAGGCCGGCCACGAGACTAGAAAGAAACTTTTGTTGTTTTACTAGTTCACAAAGATTTTTGAGTACGTTATGACGTTCGAGGATTTTTATGACTACGAAACGAGAATTATGTACGATCAAGCTAGAAGAGTGAGGTCAAGAGGTCTCCGGATAGAATTACTACAAACAATGGCGAACACTCTTGAAAAATTCAGCGTGTTCTTTTAGAATGACCACTTCAGTTCAGAGTATGTGGGTAACTAATTCTAGTCACGCCACAAGTATGTTGCATTCCTTTGTCACTGACCACAGATCCATTTTTTCGAGTTTTCGGTTCAAGGAGAAGAGGAAGTCACTCTTTCACATGAAGACAGAAAATCTAAGGAGAGCAGGAAGTTAAAAATGAGATCCTTTGAATACGAACTGTACCAAAGTCTGTTATAAAACTACCTAGTGTGCACAATGTTCTTCTATTTAGATATGTGTATGATATTGTCCTGGAGTTTGCCATAGAAATGGTCAGACAAAGCTAGGTTATTAAGATTTCAATGCCAAATAACAGTTCCCTCTCACCTACCCTCCCCTTCCCTCACCCCCCCCCCCCCGTCGCTCAAAGCAATCGCACAGTGCAAACACAAAACTGAAGTAATAGCGAAAAATCTCTTCGGACGTTGGAAGAGCCCACCTACTCGCTCAATTCCGCCCACGAGCAAAAAACCTTTGTAAGCGGGGAAAAGTTGGTTTTTAGTACATTTTGTAGCAAATTGAATCAGAACTCAAATCATTGCGTCTTGCGACTGCAGCGCTGGTTTGAACTCTCTAAACTGTTGAAAGGTGGAAAATTCTTGAGGTTGCGCTTGTGCAGAATCTCGTGTTAGTTCTACGTCAAATGCCTATAAAGAGTCAGTATTCTGAGAATAACAACCTTGTCTAGTCCTAAGATTGTGGCGGCCCCGTAAATTTTACCAAATTTTTTTGTAAACTCCCAATGGCTTGTAGACGAGCGCATAGCAGCAAAATGCAATTATTAATTGTTCTGTTTGACAACTCAAAGCTTGCTTAGAGAAAAAATAGCAATCACAGTCAGTAGACCTGCTTTCAAACATTACAGAATCATTTGACTAATAGCTTAGGATGAACGGTCCCCAAATAATCTTGCTTCGAAACTCTTTATTGCAAAAAAGTATAAACAGCGCGTCCCTTACCGGGGATCTGAATTTATCCAAAATGTAAGCCCATCTTTTATATTTGATTTCAATTTCTGATTGAAAGAGTCGGCAAAAGAATTTGTCGCCCCTTGGGGAAAAGCTTGACCTCTATGTGTTGTATTTCGGGGAGTTTTGAATAGATACTTTGAGCTTCTCGGATCCGAATCATTCCATTTGAGAATTTTTCAAAGATGAAATATGCTTTTTTGTACAATTTTCACGATAAGTGGTGTTCCATTCAGGGCCCGGCGGGGGTGGCGTTTTCACAAGCTGGATATCGTTTTTGGCCCGAAAAAGCAAAGGGGAAGTCGTAATTTGGGGTCCGGGGCGGAGCCCCGGATCCCAAAATACGACTTCCCTTTTGTTTACCGATAAACAATGCACATATCATTCTTTATTCATCATTCCTTGTTGATGCTACTGCTCTATGAACTTAGATTACAGCAATGTGAAGATTCTGTGCTCCGATCGCTAGCCTTCCCGCAGGCGGGAATTCAAATCGCAATTCTTGTAAGAGGAAAACAACAAAATAGGCTTGTTTTCAATGCACAAGTAACGATAAGGCACCAAATTTGCTGTATAGTTGGAGGACCATGAGCACAAAAAAAGTATGAAAAATTATGAAAAACTTATGTGAATTATAAAAACGGTAAGTGTTTTTCGAAATTAGGTGGCTCCCGCGCCACCTGGGAGCCACCTGGGGTGGCTCCCTGCTTCCCTTCACATAATTTCCCGGATTTCTTTACATAAATGTGGACTAGGTCGAGAGTATTACTACATGTTCAAATCCGCTTCCAAAACCACCAAGGCACCGCTTAGATACAGCCCCAAATAGGGTTCACAGCGTTATGATCGGCCTCGGAAAGCGCGCTCCAATCGCGATCGGTGCACCTTGCACAGACGACGCGGAAACTTCGAGAATGTGACTTTTCTGAATTGGTGATCGCTGATTGAAGCAATCTTCACGATTTCTGAATAGATTGCTTCTTCGACAAGCCCTACAAGGGCTCAGAAGGGCCAGAGATCATATTTCGTCGTGATATCCTATGCAAACAGTTGTTTTTGTAATCGTGTTTCTTCAGTTTTCGCAATATGGTCGATTTCTCCGTACTTTCGCTCTTTTGAGTCGTTTGTTTTCTTCGTTTTCCTTTATATACTGGTTGTTGTAGGCATGCTGTCATCAAAAGTTGAGGAAATGTTTTTGACAAGTCGAGTTAAATCGGTGGATCTTCAAAACGTGGCTATTGGCAGCTCTTCACAGTGGAAGTGTTCAGATTTGGAATTACGAGAGTCAGCTGCTTCTGAAGTCTTTCAAAGTAGGTTTATTTTTTTTTGAATTTTCATGTATTTTTGTATGTTAGGCCCCGGCCAGACTCCGCTCAAGATAGCTCATCTCTCGTGAAAAGGGGCCTTCGGTGTTTTTGAGCGGTTTTGGGCTGTTCAACTGAAGTCTGGCTGGGGCCTTATGTTGCTTACTATGTTTCAATCCAGTATCTTGCGCATTCTTCAGATATGTGATTTGCCAGTGCGCGCTGCCAAGTTTATTTCACGCAAAAACTGCATTGTTACCGGCTCAGATGACATGCATGTCAGAATTTTCGACTACAGCACCTCGCACTAAGTCCACCAATTTGAGGCTCATTCGGACTATCTCAGGTAGGTGGAATGGTGCATTTATGCAAATATGTTATATTACATCGAATTTTTGCATTCGTTTTTGTACATCACATTTGTACTTTTTTGTTTTTTCTTTGTGTGTTTTCCTTTATTGCCTCCAATATTCTTGTGGATCAGCGAGACCTGGTCTGGACGATCATTTATTACTCGACAGAGCTTACGCGATTTGATCCACATTCTCAGTGTTCACGAGACTGTTTGCCTCGATTTCATAGACATAATCTTTGTGTGATTTTTGTTTTTTTTTTGTTGTTCCTAAGATTGCCGTTTCAAATATCCTCGGCCAAAAACGCTCTTAGCCTAGCAGCGAAGCTGATGCGTTACGCTGATGGGACAGCATGTTTTTTGACAACATTTTCGAAGCCAGTGTCGGGTTGCTGGCTGGCCTGCGGAAGCCGAGATTTTTCGAGGGGAGGGGATAGTGCAGTGTTTTCCAAAATGTGCGCTCTCTCTGCCAGCTTGCACAAGTCACGGCCCGATGTCCGATCGTCTCTGACAAAACTTTGTCGATTCATCATGTCCAGCAGTTAATTTTTACAATCATTTTTTTTGATGAGCAGATCAAAAATCTTTCCCTGACGACTTATCTCATGAAGCAAGTTCAACGAAACGCTTCACTAATGCTTTCGATGTTGACCTCATCAAGTATGTCATTTTTTCGGTTTTCAAGCATCTGTCTGCAGTGAAAATTCTCAAATGTCCTTTTACCGATAATACCGATCAAATCGCGTGAACTATGTCGAGGGCCTAAGGGATCGTCCAGACCAGAAGCACAATGAAAATATGATTATGCTATCAAAAATTCAAACTAGGAATGTAAAATTGCTTGTTCCATTTGTTGTGCTTGCTTTTTCTTGTTAGTTGCGTTCGAGTTATCTTTTTTTTTTCGGATCAAATCAAACCCGCATTCCACTTTCATGGTGACTTCTTAGCACATGCCCTTTAGAGAACTTGCATATTTTGAGTCATCCAAAGCAACTTCGATCGATCCGCGAAGCACATTCCCTTTTTTTGGTCTATCGTTTGCCACAATTTCGCTGGCTGCTTTCTTTGTAGCGCTAAAGCTTCTCGTTCAGCAGCCATATTGAAAAAGATGCAAAATTATGTCTCAGAAAGAGCTTTTCTATCTTTGCAAGTAGATGGAGTTTGTAGCATCTATGTGAATAGAAGTTATACGAGAACGAGATGGTATAAAGAGGAAAAAGAGTTTTGACCGTTGAAGTTGTTGAAGTTGTTATGAAATGAATGTTATGAAATTGTTGTTGTATAGTGTAGGTTTATGTTTTTGTTATTGAAATTGTATAGTGTAGGTTTATGTTTTTGTTATTGTGAATTGTAAAGTTTCGCAGCTGACTAATAAATGAGTAGTATCTTAGATATAGGGCTGCAGTGCAGTATTGATACTGCAGGAAAAGGGTGGAGAATATGGCCCAAAAGGAGAAGAATAGAGTGTGGTTTTTGGCCATCCCCTCAAACGATGACCCGGGCTGGACCAGGAAAGCCAGGTACTACTTCTATAATAAGCGCTGAGGCCGCCCATCTTATTATTTGTGTATATCTGTTTGTCAGGGACTTACGGGGGTCAAAAATAGGGTCAAAGGGAAAGTCGTAAGAAATTTTGGTTTCAAGGGGGATATCGTTTTTAAAATTCTGAAATGCCACCTCCTGCCGGGCCCTGGTTCCATTAAATGTAGAGCATAGAAGTTTGCTCCCATTGTTGATGAAGCACTACTTATCGTGATACGGACCCGTGATACCAAGGACGAATACAAGTTTAAAAACCATATACAGACGGATTTTGACTAAAACGTCAAAATCCGTCACTGTCTATGAAAAGCGAGTCTCGGAGCGGCCAATCCAAAGGCTAATTTTGGGACAATTCATTTTTTCGACCCGTTGGCACATCTTATTAGTAGAATGAATAATTGAATTCATTACAAATCCTGGCACTTTCACGACATCACATTTACGATAGGATGTACATGCATAAGAACAACCGACAAAACATTTTTCTGGTGATATCCCAAAAGCATCGAAATAACACAGTTAGCAATTTTTCAAATGTTAGAAAAATTCGAAGCATAATACTACTAAAAAGATAAAATGATAGGTAACCGGAAGTTTCTAGAAACCTGTTTAACAATTAAACAGTATCTTTGTCTACATATTACGATCACTTCAACAATCATTCAAACTTCATCTTTCAATGGCAGTGTAGCCAGTTAATTCACGAAAAAGTTAGCTTTTTCACCGCTAACGGAACTACATCAAAGAACAATTTCCCCGTGAAAAATTTTCAAACTTTTTCATTCGAAGCCTAATTATCTCTTGCTGTTGACATTTTGTTGCAATTATTGACATATTATACTCTTTCAACGTTAATATCATCTTTTTTCTATTTATAATCGGATGTCAACTTTTAAAGGGAATTTACTATTAGAGAGCTAATTAGACGGAACCCACAAATTTGATTGTAAAAAGTTTGCTTCGCCTTTTTGTAAAGGATTTTTCTTTGCTGTTTGCTTAGGTATCAGCAATGGAAAAATGAGAAGAAAGAGGAGAATCAAACATTCTTTTGCTGCTTCAAAATCAATTATTTTTCAAGAAGATCGTGGCAAGCTCCGCTTGTGCGAGTTATTTAGTTGCCAATATACTACGTGGTCGATTTTGATCAGAAAAGAATTCTTAGTACTATAAAAGAGTCAAAACTTCTAGACTACACAGTCAAACCATTCCACCGCACCAGAACAGGGAAATTGTTACAGTAAGAAGTGTCTAGAAGAATGAAGTACCGCCCGCTAATCCAAAATTCATAGCTCCACCTGGACTGAACACTTTTTTGGCTGCAATAGAAATTGCTTGCTAATACGTTAATTTCTTGCCATGTTGCACAAAAGCAAAGCGCTGACAAATACTTTCAGGGGAGATTTTTTTGTAGAAAGCGATTTGCATGAAAAGTCTGCAGTTTTCAGGTAAGAAAGAAGAAAAGTTGTAAACACTCCTTTTCGTTCCTTCCCTTAGGCGGGGTAAAGGGTCTCAGAACTCTTCTTGAAACTCCTCATAAGGAAAGAGAGTCCACGAGTCCTGTGTAAATTGAAATAGTTTTAAGATAGAATTTTTCAATGATAGTAGATTAGTTGAAGTCTAACAGCTTACAGTTTACACGTTTATTACATATAGAGGGTGGCTGTAAGTAGCGTTACAATATGTACTATATTCTTATTCAAAATTGCGGAACCTTTTCTTTTTGAAAAAGAGGCTTCTTAAAAATCCAGAAAAAAACGCGGTTGTCAAGTCAAAGCTGTTGATGTCTATGCAGTTCCATGTCTACAAGAAATTTTCTTTTTGTGAAAAACTACAATTTAGTCTACAAAAAATTGTCTCCTTTGTAATTTACAACTTTAAATTGAATAAAGTAAAAGGTGCATTGTTGCTCGCGCAATTGTTGCTATGATCTGATGTTCAACTTCAAGAAAACCTTTTTCTCTACTAAGTCAGTCCTCAAGAAAGAGTTGCGATTGTTCCAACAGAACAACTGCAATAACAGCTCTAAATGAAAGTTCAGCCAATTTAACATAGAGGAAATTTATTTGGGAAAAAACATATCTATATTAGAAGCTTGAACTACTTCTAAATGAAGACATTTTAAGATTCCCGTGGTAGAATGATTGCAGTTCATGTGCACTTTCAATGTATGCGAAGCTTACTCAATCTAATCTTGCGAGAAAAGCCCTTCTTCATGAATTTATCTGGAACTCAAGTGATCATAAAAGAGAAAATGATCCCGGTGGTCTATGGTAGTCTATAAATGAAGATGATAGTAATGTGGAATGGATTGAGAAGGTATTCCGATCATGAAGGCGTGATTAGGAATGCGCGGATCATGTTTCAGGAGCAAAGGCCTTTCGGTTTAAGCTGGCAGCTGATGTTATATATGTTTTACTTATGGAGCGCTAAATATTGAGGTGCTATTAAAAATTCATAATTAGAATCTTTGACATTTTCAACGCAGTAAAATGTTGGTGTCTCCATTCTTGGAAAGGTAAAGTAGCGCCAAATTTTGGATATGAGCTAAAACAAAAAATTCAAGAATTCTCAGGTACAAGAAGTTCAACAGCGTCCTTTCTACCCTTTGGCCCATTACACAAGCAAGAGGAACGAACGTCGTAACAGTTATACTGAAGTGATGAGATGCTGAAAAATTTTCAACAACCTCACAGCAATAGTTTATTTCGCTTCAAAGTTTATCAAGTTGATCCCATAGTTTTCTCTCGCACGACAGAGGTTTGAAAGTGCAGAATCTAAAAAATTGCTTGCAAGGAATACGTACAGCATCCACTTAGAAATGCAGTTCCTAGTTCAAAATCAAGAGATAATGGGCCAGATTCAATTCTTCTGCTCTAAGCCAAAAACTATGAAGTGTGGAAGTGCTGAGGGCCTAATTGCATGAGTACCACTTCCAGGGAGATTCTGTCGTCATGGCTAGATTTAGAATTCTCTGCAAGAATCTGAAGATAGTAGGGGGGGGGAGGGTAAGAAGGGGATTTATGAGTGGCTAACTATACGAGGTGCAAGACAATCATAGAGCTGAATTGCTCGCAGCTACTTATTTCCTGTAATTCAAGATGAGCGCAGAGGTCAAGCGAGCGTGAGAATGGTGAGCATAGGGCCCTGGTCAGCCCTGAAGCGAGCTATGACTTGTTGATCATTAATTTAACTCTCGTATCTAATAAAATTAAATCTATGATTCCAGCCGTCTTATCCAAGATACAGGACATAATTATAAAGACACTTTGAAAATCGTCGTAATTTGTTCTTGTCGAAATCTTCTGAAATTTTACTGTGCGGTCCGCATATTAGCCTACCATAACCCCTTAAACGGCTTATAATTTTTTTTTGATTTTTTCGAGAAGCCCCTTATGAAAACTGGACAAAATACAAAGACATCTGTTTTTTTGACACTGTCACATCCCTTGACTCTAGTATTTTTTTGTACAGTTACATACTAAATTATGAAACATTTGCAACATCTGCTACCTGGAACCCTTAGAGAAATGTTCACTGCATTTTTTGCTTTCAAAAGCACCAAAAGTCAATCTGCTTTAATAAACAGCAGGTTTGAGAAGTTTTTGAGCTCTTGTTCATTTTGAATGATAGTCATGGAATCCACTGAGCCTTTACGATAAACGAGTGGAAGAGCGCTTTCGTAAATTCTGCGTAATCGCTGCTAAGGACAGACAGATTCAGAGAAGGATACTTGGTCGAAGTGGCGTTCCTATATGAGATGTATACTATTTTATAGAGCATGAAACGCTGATTCCAAATCTGCTTTCTAAATCCGCAAGGCGCTTCTGGAAGGGGAGTTCTGGGAATTTTTTGGGGTAAAAATTCAATAATTTGGCTAAACTAAG